AAAAGCTTCAAGTAAGATGTAAAGTATTAAATATTGCTACAATATTCTGTCTCCAATTTAAGAGTTCCTTTTTTGCTTTAATAGATTGAAGTATTTGGGCACCAGATAAACACAGAAGACAGAGAAAAAATTCCAGAACCCAAAAGACAACTACAGGAAAAATTAACTGCAGCTATCAGAAGACATGCAGAGGCCCGTTACAAAGCCCAGTTTGCAGCAAGGAGGATGTTATCAGAGCCTGATTATATGGGTGGAATGCTCTGTACCTCAGGGGAACACCCAGCACCCCCATGTTCATCCTTGTAAAATGATTGTGTGGTATCCAATGCAAGTTTGTCACATTGGGTGTCTTCAGAAGGCTCATGATGCACTGAGCATTGTTGTTACAGTAATGTTATAGGTTGTAATTTCATGTATGTACTTATGAGGCTGAAAATGTACATGTATCCTCATGGCTTAAAATAAGCCCAGGCAAAAACTCCCCAAGAGCAGAGAGACAGTTCACACCTCATCAGGGCAGGAATGGGACAAACCCAGCCCAGCCTCACAGGAAAAAAGGAATGTTAGACTCTTGAGGGAGTCACTCCCCTTCCTTTGGTCAGTTTGGAACTGTAATGAGGCAATGCCCACCTAACTCTGAAGGGGGAGAGGGGAAGAGCTGCAAAGCCACAAGGGAAGAAAGGCCATGATAAAAGGGAAAGACATTTACCATGCTCTTCCTCTCTCTTCCACCTACATACACCACCCCACCAAGCGACTGAAGACTTGATCAAAGGGGAGAGCCAGCCTGTGGTGAGAAGCATCTAAGTTTGTAAAGGCACTGAAAGTGTTAAGATCAGCTTAGAATGCGTTTTGCTTTTATTTGACCAAATCTGACTTATGTTTTGACTTACAATCACTAAAATCTATCTTTATAGTTAATAAATGTGTTTGTCTATTCTACCTAAAGCAGTGTGTTTGGTTTGAAGTGCATCATAGACTCCCCTTGGGATAACAAGCCTGGTACTTATCAATTTGTTAAATTGACAAACTCATAAGCTTGCAGCATCCAGCAAACATAACTGAACACAGCAAGACAGATTCCTAGGGTTGTCTGGGACTGGAGATATTGGCCAGTGTCATTTGTTTGTCAAGTAGCTGGGAGCAGCTTACATACCAGAGGCTGTGTGTGAACAATCCAGGAGTGGGGGGTGGGGGGGTCAAACAGCAGAGCACGGTAAGGCTGGCTCTAGAATCAACAATTAGAGTTACCTAGCAGATCACTGGGCCTGATACCACCAGAGGGGAATGTCACTGAGTATTATAAATATTCCACTTTTTAAAGTTAGCTTAAACATTAAGGTGAAATAGCATGGAAACCAAATTCAGAGTTTGGCTACTAATCTTGTCCTCAATTTAGCCTACTGTACTTATTCCTGGACTCTGAGAAGAATAATAGTGTATTATAGATGGGGCTGCTAGCATGTTAAGGTTGTTCTGGCCCACTTCCCATTCTAAGACCCTGTTTTCAGTTGCTTGTAACTTTGTGCACATGTACATATAGCTCCACAAAATTCTCAAAATCCCAGAAAAACTGAAGAGACCTTTTTTAAGCAGGACTCTTTTGCAACAGACCTATTATAGTTAGGAACTGTCAGTTTTGCTACAAACTCAGTACAAGAACTGTATCATACTACTATACTAGTTGGCTGTCAAAGGACTTTACAAATTAAATGTTATCCCCATTTTACTTCTGGGAAAAGAGATGGCATAAAGTGACTCACCCAACTGCATGCAGGAAAGTCACTGACAACATAAAATAAGCCAACCATCACCAGATGAAATCATTTTCAGTTGTTATAGTTACTTCTGTAGAGGGGAACCTAAAATAATCTTCTCTACCATTGTGTAAATGTTTTGCTGAGATAGAAAATATTTACAAAGAGTCACATCAAACTGTTTTACCCATTGGTGCAGAAGTTACTTTAAAGAGTCAGTAGGCTGTAAGCATATTGATAATGTAACTTCCCATAGAAATTTTTAAGGTTGAAACGCCCTCAACCTATAATTAGTTGTTACAGGAAATATCCCCCCTATTTATGAAAAATCCACAAATTGAAACTGACATTTCCTCAACAAGAGCAGCAGTGGATACTGTTACACTATACTCTAAGCTTTTTATTATGAGTTTTTAGTTGTGTGCATTTATGCACTATAAATTACACAATATTGAGTTGCTCTACAGTATATTTAACACCCACTGGAGCTAACACTGGCTCAGCTCTCCTTGAGGAAAGAGTGCTTTACATGAAAGAATGGATGACTGAAGTAGTAGGCAAATTTTCAGGCACAGAAACTCTCCAAATTATCTATCACACACCTTCGCTTAAAACTGAAGCCCACTATTTGACTAATACAATATTAGCCTTCTATGAAGAAGTGTAGCACCATTAAATGTACCAAATGTGAAAACCTACGGCAATGTTAGTTCTCACAAACCTAGGAAAACTTTCAGTCTCTGCTCAAAGCAAGGGCCAAACTTTTGAGTGTCTGTGTGGGTGTG